TCTCTGTCCCTCTGTCCCTCTGTGTCTCTGTGTCTCTGTGTCCTCTGTGTCTCTGTCCCTCTGTGTCTCTGTGTCTCTGTGTCTCTGTCTGTCTCTCTGTGTCCTCCTGTGTCTCTGTACCTCTGTGTCTCTGTGTCCCTGTGTCTCTGTCCCTCTGGTCTGTGTCTCTCTGTCCCTCTGTCTCCTCTGTGTCTCTGTGTCTTGTCCTCTGTGTCTCTGGTCTCTGTGTCCTCTGTCCCTCTGTGTCTCTGTGTCTCTGTGTGTCCTCTGTGTCCTCTGTCCCTCTGTGTCTCTCTGTGTCTCTGTGTCCCTCTGTGTCTCTGTCTCTGTGTCTCTGTGTGTCCCTCTGTGTCTCTGTGTCTCTGTGTCTCTGTGTCTCTGTGTCTCTGTGTGTCTCTGTGTCTCTGTGTCTCTGTGTCTCTGTCCCTCTGTGTCTCTGTGTCTCGTCTCTGTGTCTCTGTGTCTCTGTCTCTGTGTCTCTGTGTCTCTGTGTCCTGTGTCTCTGTGTCTCTCTGTGTCTCTGTGTCTCTGTGTCTCTGTGTCTCTGTGTCTCTGTGTCCCTCTGTGTCTCTGTCCCTCTCTGTGTCTCTGTGTCTCTGTGTCTCTGTGTCTCTGTGTCCCTCAGGGGTGAGGACGGGGTGGGGGTGCGTCTCTCAGAGGACGTCTCCGCTCAGGAGAAGAACTTCCTGTACAAGAGGAAGACCAGAGTGTCTCAGGCTCTTCAGGCTCTGCTCCACCTCCAGAGTGTTTCTCCACACGACAAGGTCAGACACACACACACACACAACACACACACAACACACACACAACACACACACACACACACAACACACACACACACACACACACACACACACACACAACACACACACACACAACACACACACACACACACACACACACACACACACACACACACACACACACACACACACACACACACACACACACACACACACACACACACACACACACACACACACACACAACACACACACACACACACACACACACACACACACACACACACACACACACACACACACACACACACACACACACACACACAACACACACACACACACACACACACACACACACACACACACACACACACACACACACACACACACACACACACACACACACACACACACACACACACACACACACACACACACACACACACACACACACACACACACACACACACACACACACACACACACACACACACACACACACACACACACACACACACACACACACACACACACACACACACACACACACAACACACACACACACACAACACACACACACACAACACACACACACACACACACACACACACACACACACACACACACACACACACACACACACACACACACACACACACACACACACACACACACACACACACACACACACACACACACACACACACACACACACACACACACACACACACACACCACACACACACACACACACA